TTATGCCATTTCTTCATCTTGACATAGACCGTGGCATAGAAGGGGATCATCGGCAACATAGGAAGTCCCAGAGCCTCCAGCTGTTGTCGCCTTCTTTCCTCCGTGGCCTACCTCATAGCCATAGGCCAAGCTTCTCGTCCACAACCTGCCTCCGCCAGCTTCACCCGAGTCTTTCTTTTCAGTCGGTTCACCTCGGACTCGATGTGGCCGTTTGAGGCCGGGTCATCACCTGCCGTGAACGTCTGCAAGATGCCCATTGTTGCGCACCACTTGCGCATTTGTCGACTCAACAGCTCCTTGGCACGGTCTGAGTGAAGTCGGTTCGTGGCTATCCCCATAGCTCGGAACTTGATCAGGGTCCTCTGCATGGCCTCGATCACCATCTCCTGAGCGCGAGATTCCAGCGGCTCCATGCGCACCACCCGGGAGCTTCTTCTGGCTAGCCTCCAACTCCGCCGCGAACGCTGCCTCGTCGTAGTCCATCTCCGGGTTCAAGATGTCCTGCTCCTCCTCCTCCTGCGCTTCTTCGTCGAGTTCGGCCGCAGGGTCACCCACAGCGCCTTCGGTGGGCCCCTGTGAGTCCGGCTGGACACCCCCCCCACTCGGCTGCTCCTCATCTTCTTGGCGTTCTCCTTGGTCACCTTGGTCATGAAGTCCATCCCCATCCTTCACGGCCTTGATTTCCTGGGTGTAGTCGGGAACCAACGCCACCGCCATGAGGGCATACTTGACTGGTCTTTTGGTGACCAGATCCACTGTGTTGGTCAACGGCCCCACGATGTCCACTGACACGGACCATGCCGACGACATTCGGTCTTCCATAGACCTTCTGCGATGGGGCTTTTGCGATCCCATCTGTTCAATGCAAAGACGACAGTCCCTGCGGAACGGCCGATGGCCCAGGGCAAAGTGTTTCTTCCACCCCTCAACCTCCTTGGCTTTCATCGCGGCCACCTTGGGTTTCACCTCCACGAAGTTTCCAAGTAGATCTGGATGGCCTTCTTGATGGCTGCACGTAGCCCCGGCGCCCACAAAGCCCATGACTTGGACTGCGCAATACTTTCCTCCACGGAGTCCGGAAGTGCTTCATCCTTCAAGTTCTTGGCGAGGAGGTTGTGCAAGTCCTTCATGCGCGGCAAGTTAGTCATGATTGTTGTAGGTTTTCTCTTCTTATGGCCCATAGCTCCCTGATCGAAGGTGACCATGGCCATGTTCAGCCCACGAAGTTCCGGCCACGTCCAAAAGGAAGGCACCTGAGATTCTGCCGCCATGGACACCGGGTCCGCTGGAGATTCAAGCAGGAAGCCTGTGGGATCGCGAGCCACCTCCAAATCCCGCCGAGCTTCTTCCGCCATGTGGTACAGTCCCACTTGTTTCAACACAAGGGCGGCATCATGATCTGCCAGCCGTTGTTCTCCCGCTGAAAGATGTGGTAGTCCAAAGCGATGTTCATGGTGATCTCGAAGTGGTCGAGGTCCAGGTCTCCGGAAACGCAATCTCGAAACCGACCGACACGGTGGTCCTCCCAGAATCACCGCCAAGGAACCTTGCTTCGCTAAGGAGACCAAGAATGCCCACAGAACCGGGTTGTGGATGTCTTGGTCCTTTCCATGCATCACATCCAGCGCGATGACTTCACATCCATGATCCTGTAGCTCCAGCCATTCTTGCACGTTCACCAGCAAATAGGTGCAGGATCACCTTTTTCGCCCTCAACAACCTTCTCCAGGTCCTGCGGTTCCATGGCAACGTCCCCTTGGTCAGGTCGTGCTCCTCCGCCATGTACCTGAAGAATCGTCGAGGCGCCTCAAGGAAACCGATGTTCCCACCAACTCATCACCTCGGGGTCCAGGTTGTCCTCCTGCTCGATGTCCAGGTATTTGCGACGCTCCGCGGCCTCAATCTCATGAATTAGCAGCAAGGCGTCCTTCTCCGGAACCACAGGGCATCCATCCCGAAGGTGTGACACGATCTTTCCCCTTCTCGGGTGTTCAACAGTACAACCAGACCTGGACCAGGTCATTTTGTAGCCCAGATCCACCAGTCCCCGAACCGGGACTATAGGTTCCACCGGCTGCTGCGACAAGAGGGTTCCAGTTGTTGGATCTTGATGCAGCTGGATCTGACCGTGCGCCAGTTCCACCGTCACTAACTCGGCCTTCTCGATCTCCCCGTCCAGAGCCATTCGCAAAGGACGCGTAGCTCCACCGTCTAGGAGACCCAGAGCCTCACCCAACGCCGCCCCAGCGCCCATGTCCAGCGACTTCACGTTGATCGCCTTCAACGTCACGGAGTGCAGCGACTTCAACAACGCTGCGGCCTGTCCAACCAAGCCACCCAACTCAGCTGACGCCGTAGTGCCTCCAGAGTCACCGGCGGGAGTAGTGTTCTCCTCCTTCACCTGCTTCTCTGGCTCCATGTCGTTCGCCTCCTTGTTTTTGTTTTGGCCCCCCACCCGTTCCGGGGTAGATGGCTTGCTATCACCGCCCTTCACCTTGGCCACCTTCGCGCTCTCCTCATTCACCTCCTTTGTTTTGACGATGTGAGGACAGTCTTTACGAGTGTGGTTGAGACCTGAGCAATGAAAGCATCTGTTGTCCTTGGGGTTCAACAGGGAGTGCTTGAACTTGCAGCGATCACCCCTGCGACATCCCTTTTCACTCAACCAAAAACGACAATCGCGCCGGCCTTCTCCAGCACCACCCTTGGCCTCCGGCCCACCTCCACCATTCGTAGTTGTGGTTGCCGTCGTTGAAGTCAAGGTCATAGATTTCACAGCAGGAGCCGTTTTCGTAGTTCCTGCACCATTGACACCATGAGCCAACTCTTCACTCTCGGCCTGCAACAGCTCCGCAAAGGTCTTGATCGCGTCCGTCGTGGGTCGGGTGTCAATGTTCAACTGTTGACGACACACAGCAAGCCTGTATGCCGCTTGAGCGCCCGTCTTGGCGATGTAGTCCGAGGTCTTGGTCAGGACGCCTGCGAGAATCACCGGATCCGGCAACATCACCGCCAGCTCTTGTGCCCTGTTCCACCACCGACGCCATTGCCTCAGGTTTGAAGCGACTTCCGCCATTGTTCCAGAAGTCTTCAGGTCCGTCAGATAACGGATGAGGTTCATCCTTTCGCTTTGGCCTCCAGGTTGAAACCTCACAAACAACGTGAACAGCAGATGCGAAGCACTCAACTTCCTCACCGCCACTGCTTCCGACCGAATCACTTCAGGCACCGCCTGCAGCAGCAAACTGGTCATTCTCCTCTCCGTCCTCGGCCACTTGGTTGCCGCCGTAGAGGTTCCTGGATCCAGCCTGAGCCGTTGGAGAGGTTCTGAAGACAACCACACCGCATAGTGCTCCTCGACCCCTTTGATTGTCGCTGCCCACCAGTCTCCCGCCGAAGGCTCTATGGTCACCAGCCAGTCGCCGAAGGTCAACGAGTTGGCGTCCAGTGGCAAGACCGGCAACTCCACGTTGCGAAGGCTCTCGTTCATGCACTCTTCGGAGCCTCCAGCCCCGATTCCGGCACCTCCAGGAACAGCACCACTGCCCGGTCCACCACCATGAGGAGGTCCAGCAGCTCCACCACCTCCACCCCCTGATCCCATGGGTACGGCCACGGAAAGCATGGTCCTGTAGGTCCAACTCCCATCGTCCCCATCCCAGCTCCTTGCATGCTAGGATGTTGACCATTCGTCATAGCCCCGGCTCCTTGCATGCCAGGGTTCTGACCATTCGTCATAGTCCCGGCTCCTTGCATGCCAGGGTTCTGACCATTCGTAGTCCCCGAAGACACCGAAGACGACATAGGTTGCGTGCCAGCGCCCGGTTGTAGGCCTTGTCCACCTTGAGGATGATGTCCTTGTCCAGCGGGTTGCCCGCTGCCACCATCAACAGGTTGTCCGCCAACACCTGAGCCCTCTGGAACGGACTTGAAAGAGGCGTTCGATGAGGTCCTTCCCTCACCCACCATGTGTTTGACACCCTCCGCGAACCGCTGCTCAGCCTCGCGAAGACATTGAAGACGAAATAGTTCCACCTGTTCCGTAGGTCCAACGCTGCCTGCCACACCGGCTTGTTGTTCTTGCAATTTGGCAGCTGTCCATGGGTTGATCGGCTGATCGGCGAACTTTGAGCTTGACTGAGCCCCGGAGGACTCCCACCAGCACCCTGAACGAGTTCTCCAGGTTGTCCCGCTCCAGGTCGTTGGCCTTGTCCCGCTTGTAGTGCCCCTTGTACCTGGACTTGACCAGCAGATAGACTCCCATCACCATGAAGGCCACTTAGGTCTCCTCGTTCGGCATTTGTGCTTGGTTGCCACTCCCCAAGACATTTCCAGGGAATGGAGTTGCAAGAAGGCCCAACCCTCCAAAGGCCTCACGGGCCTGATGAAGCAAGGCTGCCGCTCCCGATCCAAGACCTCCACCATTGCCATGAGCTCCAGGAGGAAGAGGTAACAGACCTGCACCAGCTGGAAGCGGAGGCACATGCGGAAAGATCGGCACCTGCACCGTCTCTTGGGCCCTTGGCGGCACCGGCGTCTGCTTGGGTGTTGCAGCCGTCCTCTTCAAGGCTGGTGCCATGCTCGTGCTCGGCTCCAAGGATGATGCTCTTCTCGGTGGGGCGGATTTCGCCCTGTGCTCCTCAAGCAGCTGGTCCAGCTGCTCATCCGCCGTCTGCCTCCGAGCTTTCGAAGACGATCGCCTGCGGTCCATGGCGGCCATCAACCTGAGAACCTCAGGGTGGACTTCCACCTAACTTGGGCTCATAACCCATGTGAGTGCAGTTCACTCGGACCTTTTCTTTCTTGAGCCAAACGTTGCCAAGTTAATGGCTGGTTTCGAAGTTTCGAAGGGGCCTTCAAGATGGGACACTTCTTGTTTTGTGCGGACTGACTCGCAGTGTCAAAAGGTTCCACCTCGTTTGATAGACGATCAAGAGTGAGCAAGTGTCAGCAGGCAGCATGCAGCATGCCTCTAAGACTTTAAGATCCAAGGCCCTGGCAGAGGTGGGGGCAGGTCCGGCGTTTCCTGTCGGTCCTCCTCCGGGTGTGTCTTGGCGTCACCACGACAGGCACAAAGAACGACACAGACGGTGATGAGGCAGCAAAGAGCTCCAGCCGATGCAAAAATCACAACCTAAAGGCACGGGTATTCATGTCACCGGTCAGCAACAAACATTGCCAATTGCTGAGGAAACTTGACTACAACAATTCTTCTGAAACAATACCTGAAGCAGGTCAAGAAAACTGTTTGCTACTACACAGCCAAAGTGTCCCGGAAAAAAAATAAACACGATACAGTATATTGATCCACATGCCTTCACGGAGCACGGAACCTATAAAACTGTTTCACCTGTCACCTCCAAGTGGCCAAAAGGTATGACTCGGGTGGGCATTCATCTTGCAGCTGCCACCCCTGCTCGTCGCAAGTCACCACCGCCTCAACACCGGAGTCGCAGGGTGCCCGGCATTGTTGGCCCACCACTTGCGGTTCTTGACAGTCAAATGGCCCAGCACCTCGAAAGAACGACAAAAACAAGTCCTAACAAAGGGTATATACGGTATATATCTATATATTCTTGGATGTAATGTTATGCTGCTATGCTTTCTTCCACTTGCAAACCTCAAAACTATGCTTTCTTTCATTTTTAGGGGATAGGCTGCGGAGTGAGGTAGGTGGAGGTAAAAAGCTGTTAGCTACTACTATGACAGCAAGGAAGCTACTGAATGCAGAGACGCAAAAAAGCTCAGGCATCTTCAAGGAAGCTCCCTCTGACTGAGGGCGGGAACTTCCTTGAAGAAACCTTCGCATGATTGATTTGGCTCCTAGAGCGTCCTTGCTCCTAGTAGCGATGCCAGGAGCCCCTAGTAGCTTCTTGTTCCTAGGGGGAACCCTTAACCTGCTATCTGTTTGTTGTTGTCATGATGGGAGACTCCGTTGAATCGATGTGCTTTGAGTCCTTGCCTGTGATGACTGGGAACGATGATGGGCTGCATATAGTGCCATCAGCACCGGTTACCAACTTTGAAACAGCCTCTTGCCTTCGAGTGCCAACCAAAATGTCTGCATTGTGCGCCAAGACTTGGATAGAGTAGAAGCCAACCTTGGCTTCTGACACATTCATCATGCCATCCACAATTAGCTGCTGCAGGGTAAATACACTGGCTGCATCCAGTTGGGCAGTGATGTTGGAGCCCAAATCATCAGCCTGTTGCTGTGTGTCAGCCAAGAACCATACAGAGTAAACAGCGGTAACCCCTCCTACAGCCAACAGTCTGCCCAAAGTCTCAGTCGTGAGCACCATGGAGAGCTGTAGCTCTTCGATCCCAACACCGATGAGGTTGCTGAGGACTTGTCCAACCACCCCCTTTGCATCAGGATCTTGAACAAACTCCACGGAGTTGTTCACATCCATACGAAGCACACCAGCCACATTGACTCGAACTTCAAAGTCCGTCAAGGTCGTTGTGACAGTCCATGTGCTTGTGAGGCTCGTGGTTCGGGTTTGGGTCACCGTGCGGAGTGTACAAACTGGGAAGTTCCCACTCAGGGCACCTTCGGGTTCACAGGTCAGGGTGGCGCTGTCACCTTCCCATTCAGAAGAGCAAGATGCCGTACACTGCCCACCTGTGCGGATCCCATCACAAGTGTGAAGAAATTGAGATCCAGTTGGGAAATTGTAGAAGCATGCTTGTGGGAGACAGCTTGGCAAAGATCCTCTCAACGTAATCGCATCAGCAGTCTCCAGCTCACTGGCCGGATCGATTCCCAGCTCTGGGCCTGCACAAGTGAGGCTCTGCACTCCGTTGGTGGAGGTGTAGCCTTTCTGGCAAAATGCGGAGCAGCTAAACCCAAAGGGTATATTGCTACAAATGTGACCTAGACTGGCTGTCCTGGCTTCAGGAACTGACAAGTTGCAGGTCACTGGTTGACATCGTACGGTAGCATCAGTCCGTGCAGCCCCATCACTGCCACATGTGAAAGTGCCGTCTGAGCCAATATAGCCATCTGCACATTGTTGCTGACACGTCTCGCCCGTCCTGACGTCCGTGCAATTTGTCACAGTCCGTTCGCTTTCCGTTGGCACACCAGAGGTACACACTTCAGGTTCACAAGAAGGAAGAGACCCAAGAAGTGACACCGAAGCAGAGCTAGCATTCCAGGAACAGGCCCATTCTTGCTGAAGGCTACTAAGCTTATAGCCCGCTGCACATGTTACTGCGCAGCTTCGATTGAAAGTGAGCGAGCTGCAGGTGTGCGCGATGGATACAGCAGAGAGCTCGATGGGCGTATCACAAACCATTGGAGAGCAAGAAGGTGCCACTCCAAGAAGCAAGCCGGTAGGGTCGCACTGCATCGTCGTGCTGTTGGGGGTAAAGCCGGCAGCACATCTAACGGTACATGTTTCTGCTGTAGTTAGTCCAGTGCACTCATTCGAGTCCAATGTTGCATCAACAAGGAGGGGGTTCGAACATGGATTTCCACTGCAAGTTGGAGTTGTTCCTGAGAATGTTCCATCTGCAGAGCAAACCATTTGCTCTCCCCAGCCTTGCAAGTGATATCCGGTTGCACAGCTGACTCCACAGGTCTCTCCAAAGCGCTTACTCTGGCAATTGTGGTAGAATCTCTCCCCCAACTCCAAGTCTGAACAGGTAATTGGTTCGCATGAGGGTGCAGTCCCTTCAAAGACCTGAGTAGCCATGCATGTAAATGTCTGCAAGGTTGCGCTTGCTGCATAGGTATATCCAGGTTTGCCACAGGAAGCTTCACATGTTTCCCCAGTTGTCTTTGCGTTGCAGTTGTGGGAAACACCAAGTCCACTTGGGAAAGAGAAGTTGCAAGGCTTCCCAACACATGTTGGCAAACCTGACCCAACTAAAGTGCTGTCCTTGCATACAAAGAGAGAAGGCTCAGCCTCTTGCATGTCAAAGCCAAAGCCACAATGTGCGATGCAAGCTTCATCGTGCAGCTTGTCAGTGCAATCATGCAAAAACTGCAAGTGTTCCAGGCCAACCTGCGTCACAGAAGCTGATGGGCAAGGATTGAGGCTGCCAGACAAGCGTCTGCCAGTGGAATTGCACTGGATGTCTTGCACGACGCTCTGCAGCTCAAGAGCTTGACCATTGAGCATACATCGATACTGACGAGCAACCCCATCACCCTGCAGGCAGTACGCCCAGCAGTCTGCTCCATATGGGGTATAATGACAAGTGCTGCCAGTCCCATCACCCAAAGACGCGTAAGGGCAAACAGCTGGAACTATGTTGGGAATATTGCCTGAGCAGAATGTCGAATCTTGCCTTCAACTCTTTACTGTGGACAAACAAAACTCACCAGCATAGTGGTTCGGATACATGAGATTCTACTTTGGCAACACGACAACATGACAAACAAACATGGTATGCAGAGATTTGATGCCGCTTGGCATTTGGCCACTCGCCGCCTGTAAGATATCCTGATGCCTCACAAATCAGCTGCACAGTTTGTCCTCCTTCCAGCTGATAGGGCACCACGGCATCCACAATGCAGAAACCACCTCAGGGATTCACTCTGGACATGTCATCCTTCTCCCTTTCTCTGCTTACTTGCATAGCGCGAGTCCGTTTGCTTGGCAATGATACATATAATATACACATACTCCATTGAACATTATGTCATACAGTTTGCGCACACGTGCACGTGTGTTTGTGTTCCTTCACTTCATGTTCTACAACGACAAAGTCACCCAAAGCTGGCTGCACTGCATGTTTTTTGATGCGGAGGTTCCTTGTTTAAAATTTTAAAACCCGTGTGTGTGTGTGCGCACGCGTGTACATTGACCCAGGCCAGTGATTCATGGCATGGCCCTGGACACATGACAGGTGGCACAAAACATTAAAGGCCACACAAACAGTGAGAACACGTGCACCAGGATAGTGACATGTGACAAGTGACAAGCCCTGACAAAAATTATACAAGCATAGACCCCAAACAGCTTCAAAACGATTCGTTTAGACCAATATTAATCAAAAATCGATTTCTTGGTTCGCCCTACTTGCACCCCAAGAGCAAACTGCTTCATCAATGAATTTTTGTCGGCATTAACATCGCGATTTCTTCGGCCACACTCCTCTCCAGTAAGCCGGGCCACAGAGACCAGCCACAGAGTTCAGGGGCGCGGCCAAGACAAGGACAAGAGGAGGACAAGACCCGGACACAGAGCCGGGCCACAGAGCCCAGCCACAGAGTTCAGGGGCGCAGCCAAGACAAGGACAAGAGGAGGACAAGAATTGACAAGGCCCAGCCACAGAGCCCAGCACAGAGGACAAGAGGAGGACAAGAGCCCAGTAAGCCGTCCATAGCACACGAGCGCGCTCGCCCTGCTCTCTTTCTCTCTCTCTCTCTCTCTCTGTCTATCTCTCTCTCTCTCTCTGTCTCTTTCTCTCTCTGTCTTT